ACACCTCACCAAGGAGAGGACTCTCAAGTTGGACTCACTTCCTCACGGTAAGAAGAGATTGAGAAGGTAGATAAGGTAAAGGATCAACATACCTGAAGAATCGTGTGAAGATAGCTGCCCCCAACCACAGATTTTCTCACCAATTGAGCTGATGTTGCATTTGATGACCGGTCATGACCTCGGTACCACCCACAACGCAATGCAGTGCCACCTTAGTCCAATGCCACATCAGCATGCTCTCATCATCAATCAAACATTTCGTTGTATCCCACGGCATACACTGCCGTAATAGCCTTCCGGTGCACCCCTCTCTACCCAGGGCGTGCACCTAGCAATGGCCTGACATCACAAGTACCAACTGCGAAGAAGCATCATCAACGCACCAAGTCTGTATAACGCCAGCATGCCGAAGGTAAGTGGCGATCAAACCAGCTCCGATACCAAATTGCAAGGAACATGAATATGGACGAAGCACAGAAATCCAGAATGCAAAATCACACTGAAGTCCAAGTAGTCAAAGCCAAAGCAGATAGCACATGGAACCGAGTAACCATCCCATTGAGAATGATACAGAAGAATCGTGAGTCAATGTCCATGCCCAACAGGGCAACACCAACAGCATAACCAAAATGTAGCTCTCTCTTGTGAATGGCGCCAGGCGCCCTATCTACTCTACAGCCTAGCCTACAACTACAGCAATGAAAGCAACCAGACAACTTGACTACCAGCSAGTGATGATGTCAACACCARTGCCGACCTCCACCTCCACCAGGTACGTGTCCTCTTCCCCACACTCTCCCTTGTTACCCACACAGCGCCCTTCACCTCCGAAGACCACCTTCGCCCTTCACCCTCTCCGCACCCTCATGCGGCCCGGCTATGGCCGCTAGTGCCCTGGTGCACAGGCAGCGCCCTACCACCTAGCGCTGGCCTGCCTTGCACCTGTCTAAGCGCAGCGCAGCAGCAGCAGCAGCTCGCATTTGCGCAGCGTGCCGGCATTGCCCGCAATGGCCAAGATCCCTGCTTTTTCTCACTTTTCTTGCTCCAACCAATGCTTTCCACTCGCCCTGCTTGCCTATATGCCAGTGCAGCGTGTGGGCGGCCTTCCTTCAGCCTGTGACCGGGACCCAGAGGCTGAAGCCTACCCGATACAGTTGGGCCCCGGAGCAATGCAGTTGCGCCTCTTTCATCAAGGCCTGCGGCCAGATTCAGATAGTGGGCCGATTTCCCTTCGGCATTTTTGGCCTCTCTACCCAGCATGCATTGTTGGCCTCACGTTCGAGTGCCCAGGGCCTAACTAACTAAGAGGCCCTGGGCATTTCAGCATTTGCTGAAATCCGAGACTCGGTGCACTCCAACCAACTGGCGTGCTGCAACTATATAGACCCCACTTCGTGAAATGTTGGCATAGAGGGCTCTTGTTGATTTGCTGGCCCGCCTTCACTTAGGGCAGGCACTAGGCTTGCTGGGGCCTTAGCCCAGAACATGTGCATCATGGCAAGGCCCCTACTTGAGGGCTCAATCCTCACACAGGTGTCAGATCCCCACCAGAGGTTCTTTATCGACGGTCTGGTATGCGTCTCACATAGGACTGGCCAGTCCACGATCACTCTATAGCACAGCAAAGAGCTCAAAGGACAAAGCAGCAAAGCCTGCGTGCTCTACTCCCATGGGTTGGCATGGTAACCGTGACCCGTGCTTCGACTAGGGCCCTTCAGAGGCACCGCCCTCTCCTGCCAGATGCACCACCAGGAAGAATGTTGACTCTCGAGGTAGAGCGCTGATGACTCCTCACCGAGCAAAAGACTCTCGAGCCGAACTCTCTTCCTCACAGTAAGAAGAGATTGAGATGGGAAGATAAGGTATGGGAACAAAGTACCTGAAGATTGCTGCCCGCAACCACTGATTTTTCACCAATTGAGCCGACATGCATTTTGATGACCGGTCATAGCCTCTCATCATTCCACATACATCCGTTGTCGCCACAACAAGCAATGTTGTTGCCACAGCCTTCCGGTCCCAATCCCCTCTACCCGGGATGGACCAATACAGCCAGCGTCGAAGTATCCTCACTGCGTAGAAGCTTCGTCAGCTCACCCAGTAACCAAGACGCCAGCACCAGTGATCGGTGATGTACGAACCAGCTCCAATACCAAATTGCAAGGAATATGAGCGAGAGCAATAGACAAAAGTCCAGATTGCAAAATCACAAAGTAGTCCAGATAGTCATGTACCAAGCAGAGAGCACAATGCACCAAGGTACCATCCAAATAAGAGCAATACAATGAACTCATATGTCAATGTCGACGCTCTTGGTTTCACCAACACACTATCCAATGTCGCTCCTACTGTCTGGCGCCCAGCGCCCAGCCCACACTACTCAGCCTATCTATGTCTATCTACGTTCATGCAACTGGATCACATCGAAGTCGAAGACCAATGTACGTGACGTCATCACCAATGCAGACCGCCAGCATATACCAGGTACATTCTTTCTCCTCTCACATCATCCCTTGACTTCCCACAGTGTGCATCCCCGATACCCAAGGACCACCATCACCATCACTGTGACGGGGCTGAGGCAATGAGGCAGGGAGAGAGAGGGAGAGAGTGAGAGCACACACACACACACACTCGCCGCAGACTTGACACGACTCGACGGACGCACACACGAAGTGGCAAAGTCGCAAAGTCGAAGTCTTTGATTTCCGAACACCATGTTGAAGCAAGTCACACCGAAGCACAAGTACAGCAGCAGAAAACTGGTACGAGACTGGTCCCCGTACCGTACGGGGAGCCGGTATAAGTACTGGTGACACGTACGGTACTAGGGGCATTTCTGCAAAGGCCCAGAGGGCAGAACTGAAAAATGCGGTATTTGAAAGTGGCGCCCGAATTGCAGCATGGCGCCAGTTGTCCAAAATCCTACGGTACCAAAGGAGGGGTTTGGAAAAACTGAAACAGCAAAAAGATAGACCAGGGATTGAGCCCTGGCGGAGTCTGTAACACTATCCCCTCCCTCTAGAAGGCAACGTCCCGGCTGCCAAAAATCATGAAGCAATGCTGAAATCTGTGAAGGACGGGACAGGGCGGACCAGTGATTAACAAGTCGAAAGGGAAGAGGGGTATAATGTGGGTGGCATGGGTTGTTGGAGTAAGAGGGAACAGGGTTTGGTACCGGTGAACAGGGTTGTCTTAGTCATGAACTAAGGGGACTGCATGGTTTGCTATAAGTTAAGGGGGAACAAAGGTCAGGGAACAGGGAACTTCTATTGATGTTCTACTGGGTAAGGGAAACAGTGTTCAGGAAAACAGGGTATTTCTATTGATGTTCTAGTGGGTAAGGGAAACAATGGTCAGGGGGAACAGGGAATGTCTATTGATGTTCTAGTGGGTACGAGGAACAATGGTTAGGGAAGCAGGGATCTGCTAATGATGTTCTACAGGGTTGTCAAAGTCAGGAAAAATAAAAATGAAAATGTTTGTTCAGGATGCAAGGGCTGGTGTGTCCGAAGGGGTTGGCAGCAGAATCTCAGGTAGGAACAAGGTGTCCAAGTGTCTTGAAAGGGGGTCTGCGGCAGTCTTGATCAGGTCTTTGGAGTAGGTGGTAGAAGCGGTCTTCAGCGGTTGCAACAGGTAGAAGTCCAAAAAGCGTAGTAGTAGTTCAAATGTCAAAGCCCAAGTGCTAGGGTGCGTCCGGTACACGAACTGCAATGAGGTCTGATCTGGAAGCAAGGAAGTCGCAGACTGATGCAAAGATCCATGTCACAAGTTGCTGCTCCTGTAAGTCCGCGAGTCGGGATGCCGGCCGATGAAACAGCATGGTGGCCAAACCAGCTGCATAATCTCCATGAACAATGAGGCAGCAGGCCATCGTCCTTGTGCACTTGCCATTAGATCCTTTATCGCCGACATCACACAAGTCCACAAGCATTGGACAAGAGAGACAAGGTAGTGGAGAGGACAGATGGGACAAGGCTAGGCAAAGGTAAGGGCAGATCAGACATCAGGAATCAGGGTCAAGGGGAGGGTGGCTGGGTTCAAGGGTGTGTGTAGAGCAGGGTTGCGAGGGTTGCGAGGGTTTCGCGGGGGTTTATGCCATAGTTATATAGGTATCTAGGACATAGGATTAGCACGATCATAGGCGCGGACAAGTTTCATGGCGTTCTTAAGATTAGAGAGAGGTTCCCATGTAGATTCTTCGTCGGGGTATCTGGTGCATTTGACTTTGTATTCAGTAATTGGTTCCGGATGGTCAGATACCTGAGTAGTTCGTCGACCGATGGTGGTTTCGACAACGAATTCAGGGCCTGTGGGTAGCATGATTGGTGGAGGTCTAGGATATGGGCGGTCGGCGAACTGGGGCGGGGATTCATGGTATTCCTTTAGGTACTCGACATGGAAGACTGGGTGGACACGACTCATGTCAGGGGGAAGTTGGAGTTTGTAGTTGACGGGGGAGGTTTGTTCAATGATGGGGAAGGGACCGAGCCATTTGTTGGAGAGTTTCTTGGACAAGCCGTGTTCGGGTTCAAAGCGTTTGGCGGAGAGCCAGACTTTGTCCCCTACTTTGAATGCCACGTYGCGTCTATGTTTGTTAGTCTTGTTGGCTTGTTGTTCTTGGGTTCCTTCAATGACTTTTGAGGCTTCTCTCAAAAGTCTGTTCATTGTTGCTACCCATTCATTGAGAGAGGGGCAGGGGGTGGATGCGTTAAGCTGCGAAGGAGGCAAGAAGTCAGAGGGCAAGCGAGGGTGGTAACCAAGATCGAGGTAGAATGGAGACATGCCGGTGGAAGGGCAAACGACGTTGTTGTAGGCAATCTCGGCGGTTGTGAGCAACTGATCCCAATCGTGTTGACGAGGATGACAATATTTCCGCAGGATTCTTTGGAGAGTATCGTTCATCTTCTCTATTTGTTCAACGGTCTGTGGATGGAATGCAGTGCTATACTTGAGAGCGTGGTTCCGTAGGCCATGAAAAGGTGTTTCCAGAATTGTGAGAGAAAGCAAGGATCACGGTCACTGATGATGTTCTCGGGGAGGCCGTGATGGCGAGCAACGTGGTCGAAGAAGAGTGTGGCGATGTCTTTGGCACTGTGCAAGGTCGTGCAAGGGATGAAGTGGGCACGTTTGGTCAAGCGGCAGACAATGACATAGATGTAATCATGCCCGCGGTCGGTCTTGGGAAGGCCACACACGAAGTCCATGGAGATGGACTGCCACCGGTGAGTTGGGATGGACAATGATTGGAGCTTGCCGGGTTTGGCCCTGTTCGAGGGGTTGACAGCTTGACACGTGGGGCATGAGAGAAGGTATGCTTTGACGTCGGCAAGCAGGGAAGGCCAGTAGAAGTAGTGGGAGATGGTGTCAAAGTTTTTCTGGAAACCGAGGTGTCCTGCAATCTTGGCGTCGTGGTGCTCGACCAAGAGTTGAGTATCGAGACCACGTGCATCGGGGATGCAAAGTCGGCGAGTGTCTTTGGTATCGATGTAGAGAAGGTTGTCGTGAAGGGAGTAGTCGGGGACTGGGTCAAGATCGCGGAGCTTGTTGTAGATGGTGGCGAAGTCTGGGCAAGAGAGGTAGCCTTGGGTGTATCGGTGACGGAGTGATGGGAGGAGTTGGATACGAGTCATGGTGGCATAGACTTTCTCGGGGGGCTTGTGGTCGGGTCGTCGAGAGAGGGCATCCGCAACGCGGTTGCTTTTGCCGAGGATATGGCAAATGGTGAATGTGAACTCAGCAAGCAAGTCTAGCCAGCGGGCTTGGCGTGGAGTGATATCTTTCTTGGAGAGGATGGAGGAGACGATGGTGTTGTTAGTGCGGATGGTGAAGTATTGCCCATCGAGGTACGGGCGCCAGACTGTGAGGGCGTGAATCACGGCGAGGAGTTCCTTCTCGTTGGAGGGGTAATTCATCTGCACGGGAAGGAGCTTCTTGCTAGCGAAGGCGATGGGGTATTCGCCTGGTGGAGCCTCGGAGTGAGTGGGGGAGTTCTTGATGGAGGGGGTGTCGGCGATGTCACGAGGGAAATGTTGGGACAGTACGGCTCCAATGGCGAAGTCGGAGGCGTTAGTGGTGACATAGAAGTGGCGAGTGGGGTCGGCGATCTTGAGGACAGGGGTCGTAGTGATGGTTTGCTTGAGTAAGTCGAAAGTGTTTTGGCGGCGATCGTTCCAATTGAAGGGCTCGTCCTTGCGGGTGAGTTCGTGGAGAGGGTAAGAGATCTAAAAAAAGTTGCGAATGAACGGGCGGTAATAGTTGGCAAGGCCGAGGAAGGAACGGAGTTGGAGGAGGGTCTTGGGCGGGGGGTACTCGACGAGGGTTGTAACCTTCGAGGGGTCCATACGGATGCCTTCAGCGGAGACAATGTGGCTGAGGTATTCGACGCTCGAAGCGGCAAACGTACATTTGCTGAGCTTGGCGTAGAATTTCTGCTCTCGGAGGATTGAGAGGACTTGGCGAATATGCTGGAGGTGGGACTCGAAGGTGGGGCTAAAGATGAGGATGTCATCAAGGTACACGACGACACAAACTTCGAGGAGGTCACGAAAGATGTGATTCATGGTGGACTGGAATGTGGCGGGGGCATTGGTGAGTCTAAAAAGGCATTACGAGGAACTCATTGTGCCCGAACCAAGAGTGGAATGCGGTCTTATGGGTGTCCTCCTCGCGGATTCGGATCTGGTGGAAGCCACTGCGAAGGTCAATCTTGGTGAAATATTTGCCTCCACGAAGTCTGTCAAGGAGCTCGGAGATCCGAGGTAAGGGGTACTTGATCGTGATCCGGTTCAAGGCGCGGTAGTCTGTGCACATGCGGAGTTCCGAAGTTCCACCTTTTTTAACAAAAAGGCAGCTAGTACCGAAGGGAGATGAACTCGGCGTAATGAACCCTTTTTCAAGGAGCTCATTGAGTTGCCGCTTCATTTCTTCAGCTTCGGGGACCGAGAGTTGGTATGGAGGACGGCAAGGTGGAGAATGCCCGGGCTCCAAATCGATGGTATGGGATACGCCACGATCCGGAGGTAATCCGGCAGGCAGGGACTCAGGGAAGACGTCCTTGAACTCGTCGAGGATAGAGGTGAGGGCGGGGTCAAAGGGGGGGGCTTGATCGGGTTTGTCCGTTGGGAGCAAGTCCTCAGGACTTCCGCGGTCAAGGACAAGGCAATAGTAGGCGGAGTCGGGGTTCATGCGGGCCATGTGGAGGAATTGATGTGGGGTGACGGAGCCTTGGGAGGTCGGATATGGGAGATAGGGAATGTCGATGGTTGTGTCGGGGGGGTTGGTGAGGCGGAGGAAGTTGGGGTGGAATGCGTATGGCATGTAGCGKTCCARCCACGRTGTTCCTAAGACGATGTCGCACATYAAATGCATGACATCAAATGAGACCTRACTGCGGAGGGTTCCTACYGTCATGGTGGTCTCGGGAATCGTGCGGTCCACTACGACGGCGGTGTCTTTGTCCCCTAGACGGATCGTAATCGGGGAGTCGTAACCGGTAGAGGTAAGACCGGCTTTCCTGACACACGCGTCGGTGATGAAGTTACCGATGGCTCCTATGTCGAGGAGGGCCCGTAACTAGGGTGGCGCTATGAATTTAAGGTGGAAACGGGATGAGTTGGCGGTGGAGATAATGGTGTTGAGGCGGCGTTGTTCGTTGCCTAACTGGACAAGTCGATCGAGTTGAGCTTGTTCTTCAACAACATCGGAGAAGGTGACAGAGGATGGATTTGGAAGGAGGGTGGAGGAGCACGAAGCAGTGGGGGGCGTCTCAAGTGATGAAGGTTGCGACGCCTCGGGGTCATCCGATGGAGAGGGTGTCACCGAGGAGGGGGGAGGCAGACGGATTGTCGATGCCAAATGGGCCGTCGGTGCGACGGGGGATGTCACCGGCGGGTGGAGGCAGACGGATTGTCGATGCCAAATGGGCCGTCGGTGCGACGGGGGATGTCACCGGCGGGTTGGCCGGCAGACGAGTTGTCGATTCCGGGACGAGGGCCCGGGGGCTGTGTTCAGGACGAGGAGGGACCTGCGCCTGCGGAGGAGGGTGACGCGGAGGTTGCGGGTCGAGGGGCCGATGATTGGCAGGTGAACTGTCCAACATTGGGGCAGTTAGTTTGTTGGTGTCCTAACTGGCAACAAAGGAAACATCCACCCTTTGCCTGAAGGTAGGCTCTTTCCTCGGGTGTGAGTTTCTTGAGGCGGCCCGGGGGGGTGGTCGGGGAATGGTGGCTAGAGCGATCTCTCTTTTCCATTCGCATGGCAGAAAGCTTGTCGGGGGGGAGTGATGTGGTGTCTAGTGGATCGGAGAGGGTGTCAAGGTTGGGGGAGGTGAACTCGTCCGAGGAGGTGATGGAGGTGGTGTCCTCGGAGGCGATGTTGTGGAAGAAGCGAGGGCGGGAAGGGGCCGATGTAGGTGCGGTCTTGTAGGGGGAGAGGATGCGGTCGAGTTGGAGGGTACGAGTGAGGAGGTCGACGAGGGTCATGGGGGGCTCGTGGACAAGGGCAGCTGCCAGGTCTTTGCGGCAAACGCGCTTAACGTGGGAGATGAAAGCGAAATCGCCGATGACGTCAAAGGGGATATGTTGGCGAAGCGAGCGGACGTACTGCACAAAACGGTCGGTTGGTCCGGTTTGTTGGAGCCGACAGAATTGGTCGATATACTCGTCGACCGTTTTCTGTGGGCGGAAGGTGGAGGTGATGAGGGTGGCCCACTCGAGGAAGGTGTGAGGCCAGAGACCGACGTGATGGCGATTAGACATTTCGGTGTACCACCAGCGAGCAGCGTTGTCCAGAAGTCGGCCGCCAGCGATGGGGAGCCAGTGGATGACGGGGATGCCATGAAGGGAGAAGGCTTGTTGGAGTTTGGTGAGAAAGAGGAGGGCATCCTCATGGGGTTGGCCCGGGAAGGTGGGGATTTCGTTGACGCGGAATGATGGGGGGATTTTGCCTTCTCTGGGGTTAATGGTGGCAAGGGTGTTGAAATCAAGGGTGGGAGAGGGAGAGTCGAACAGGGTGAAATAATTGGCGGGGTTGGTGGGGATGAGAGCATTTGGGGGAAGTAGTGGAGGAGCGGGATATGTGACGGCAGGGGTTGTCGTCTTGGGCGAGGGGGGAGGTGGAGCGACCATGGTGGAAGTAGTGGTGGATGAGGGTGGGGGTGTACAAGTGGACGGTGTTGGTGTGGAGGTTGAAGCGGAGGCTTGTCCGGAGGAGGGGGTGGGTTGGGGTGTGGAGGAGGGGGGTGTGATCGTGGTGACGACCGTGATGGAGGGGTTGTCCCCTTCGAGCACGGTGACGTGGTCGGATATGGACGACACGGTGGCCTTTATGTCGTCCAGAGAGGTTTGGAAGGTGTTGAGTGCGTGGAGGATGGCGGAGAGGTCAGAGGTGGCGGTGTTTGTTGGTGGTTGTTCGCCTGCGAGGTTGCGGGCGATGCTATCGACTGAGTCGGTGCGGATGTCAGACATGTTGATGGAGGATGCGGCCATGTCAGGGGAAAAGGGAGTGGAGGACGCGACCGGAACGGATGTGGAGGATGCAGCAGCAGCGGTGGCGGCGGCAGCGGCGCGTTGGGAGTTCTTGGTGTTGCGTGGTGGCATGTGGAGATTCGCAGGAGGGGGAGGGGGGGGGGAGGAGTTTCTGATTTTTTAATCAATAAATAAAGATAATTGCCAAGGTTTTCCAAAGAAGAAAAAAAATCCGAATTTACAAAATGTCAAAAAAGAATTAAATAAATTTCAAGAAGGAGGATTTTTTTTTTTTGAAAAAGGAAAAGATAAAAGGAATTTCGGGATTTATGTGGAGGCAGGGTGTGGGAATTAATTTAATTCGGCAAAAATGCCCGCAAAAAATTAATTCGAGAAAATTAAAATTTAAGATGAAGATTTTACGAAAAAAGGAATGAAATTAATTGAATTCTGGAATTCAGGATTTCCGAAAAGAAAAAAAAGAGAAAAAATGACTTTTAGAAAATATTTATTTGAATTTAAAATTTATTTAATGGATTAAATGCAAATTTAAATTGTTAATATTTAATGAATGGGTTTAATTAACTTTAATATCAATGCAATTTAAGGGATTTTAATAAATTTGAAACGAATTTAAAGCGACTGTAATTCATTTCAACGAATTTTATTAAATGAATTAAATACTAAAACTGATTTGATTGAAGTTAACTTACTTTAGTGTAAATTAACGGATTTAGATTGGATTTTAAGTTAATTTAAGTGTAATTGCCGAGAAATTTGAAAATGAAATTCGAAAAAAGGAGATGTCAAAAAATAAAATTAAAAAGAAGGAGTTTAATTGAATTCATGTTTGATAATAAGGTGAAGATGCGAAATTCTAATCCAATTTGAAACGTCCAGTTGATGTAGCTCAGTGGTTAGAACACCGGTTGGAAATGCGCATTGTGGTATGAGGTTGCGGCGGGTTCAAATCCGCAGCCTCACGCATGGACACTGGCAGGGCGTTAGAATGACGCACGGCTGGACACACACACCTTGGGCTGACGCATGGTAAGCTATTACAGACACTGCCTGCGCACCACCCAGGGGACTGTCCATGGTGTTGTATGTTGGGTCCTGGCCTATGAGGGGTTTGCCTGATACAGTTAGCAGTCTAATGAGGATGCAGGTACGGGTTTGTGGTTAGACTGCTCATGTGTGTTGGTTACCTTAGGCTCTGCTTTGCGGGGGGCAAGGACCTTAGGTGGGATGGGATCCCGTTTGTGGGGAGGGTTGGCTTGGGACAAGCTCTGCTGGAGGATATCGGAGGGGAACCTACAGTAGGGGATTGTCTTAAGGGATCCCGGTCGGAGGGGTGTTAGTAGACAGACTCTTGTGGAGTAAATCGTTGGGGAACCTGCAGTAGGGGCTGTCTGAGGGGGATCCTCTAAGATAGGATGGTCTGGGTCCCATAAATTAGTTGCTGACTGTAGATAGGTACCTGTCGTGGGTCCAGAAACCGACCTCTACAACACCCTGGGCTTTAAAAATAATAATAATAATAATAATAATAATAAAAACGAAACGTTAATTATTTACTTTCAAAAAGGAAAATGTAAATTTTCAAAAATAAAGAAGTTGGGGGCCGCGCGAAACATGCGCTAACGCAGCGGCGATAGCGGCGGTGGCGGCGCCCGGTCGTCGGAGGCAGCTGCGTAGGTTGTAATGTCGAGACATGGTGACGCTGATCCTTCACGTGCACCTACCCTGCCAGGCACCATAGCTGTGTGAGAGCTATGGCGATAGTGCCCTGGCGCAGCCTTGCCCTTGAGTGGGGAGGGAGTGCCTTGCACTCTTACGCCATGGCATCCTGGCAGCTCCATATTCTACACCTGATATCTATACCAACCTCTATACCTAACAAGATCTAGACACCAGAGGAGCCGTCCTCCCCTTAAGCTTTTGCTGGAAAGGGGGGGCTCCTTTTTCAACATCTAAAGGGCGGATCAACCGAGAGGGAACTAGCATGAAGCGCTGGCGGCGCTACCGGCAGCGGCGCTACTAGTGGAAGTGGGAGTCTACTGGCGGTGGTGGGAGCGCTATCTGTGGTACCTAGGGCGTGGAGTGTTAGCTATGCACGTGCAGTGATTGGAGATCCCTCGGTCCACCATAGCCTTCAGGCATTCGTTAACTGCAAGAAACCATGGAAACTGTCCTGGCGGTGTTACCAGGATTACATATTTGGTGCAGATCTCTGTATCTAGCCATATGTTGGCCCAGAGATAGTGCGACTGGGAGGTTGAGCCAAGAAGCCACGATAGATAGAAATTGATTGACATGGGAAGTTTTGTCCTGGAGTGCATTGGCGTTGGTGGGATAATGGAGACTCGCATTGAAGAATTTGCTACCGCATTATTCCAGATACATGGAGGAAGAATACGTACCTTTCCAGTGGCAAATGCTCTGGCAGCTGTTCGTCGGCAAGATGCATAGACGAAGAGTAGGATATCAAGCTTTATCAACTGGAGATCTGGTCATTTTCGCTTGGAACCGACACAAAGAGTAGCCTGAAGGCAGCCTTGCAGGATGAATCAGGACACAAGTCCAAGATGAACGGAGAGCTTCCTGGATCGCATCCATATGGACACAGCAAGTGGAGAAAGTCCGGTAATACCGTGCTGTGCAATACTTGAATTTCGGGGTCCAGCACCTGGTCCGGCTTGCTCGATAGATTCATTCTTTTAAATTCCTAATTCTGTACTCAGCCGTATTTGTTGGTTGGTTTCATAGATTTAGGGCAAGTTCATCGAAATGAGGTTCTTCTTCCCTATTGCATATAGCTACACCATACTTGGTCAAGGGGATTTGCTAGGTTCTTTCCGTCTGATGGGAAAATGTGTGTAATGTATCTGGCTTTAATTGTAGGCACCCTTTGCGCACTCTAAACTCTTCTAGTTTGAAGATCACGACCATCGGTAGACTGTCATGGATTGTGCCGACAGCCTGCTTCCTTCCTTTCCAGTCGGGCTGTGCCAGCGGAGAGAATTAGGTTGTATTTCGAAACCTTCCCTGTTTTGCTAGTTTTCTTCTCCCACCTGTTGTAGTAGGGGCACGATTTTGGTGTTATGGGCAGAATTTGTTTCCTGTATCTGGCCGAGTTTATAGGCCAAATTTATGCCTCCGCTATTCTGAGCCTATAACTTGGTCTCTAGCTATGCCAGCGCAGCCAGTGGATTGAATTGGGTCGTCGTACTGTCGCCTGCGCTCTACCACACGGCCTTTATTTGCAACAAAGAGAAGAACCAGTGGGAAGTCTGGCTTTTCTTTGCCCGCAGGCTCTCTGATCGTTTTTTCTCTATTTTGGTTGAACCGGGAATATGATTGGAGTAAGACTCAATGTTGGTTTCGCAGTTTTGGTTTGGATCTGCTGACAATAGAATGGATGATTGTCATTTCCGACGTATGGGGTTAATTGGTGTTTTTTTCTTCTTGCCTGTTTTAGGTAACTTGCTGTTTGGTAAGTTGGTTTAGTCATTATAAGAATAGTTAACACGAAGGAGCAGTGGGAACTCCTATGGTTGGATGATACGAGAGACCCGGTAAAGAGCAAACTAGAGTTGTATCCATTGGGTGCGTGGTGGGAAACCCGTCTTGGCAACAAAGGCTCTTTACAGTGTTCTGGACAATGTTGATGAGAAGGTATCCCTACAGCTTATTCGTCTATTCGTCTATCGACAGCGGCACTACGGGGGCAGTGTGAGTGCCATCGTCAATGGTGGGAGCGCTAGTCAAGTGTAATCATTATAAGAGTATTAGTTAACACGAGGGAGCAGTGGAATACCAATGGTTGGATGAAAGGAGAGACCCGGTGAAGAGCAAACTAGAGTTGTATCCATTGGGTGCGTGGGGGAAAACCCGTCTTGGCAACAAAGGCTCTTTACAGTGTGATTGGACATTGATGATGGGAGGGGAACCCTACAGCCTTTCCTCGTGCCTTGCTTCTGGCCTTGAGCTTATAGGCAGTCTTAGTTAGTAATGACTTAGCCGTCTATTTGAATCCTGGTGGAAAGTATTAGCAGGGTACTTGGACTGAATTTTAGAATTTTAGAATTGATCCGTATCTAAGAATTTAGCATGCCCTTGGAAATAATCTTAGGGTTGTATGGTAAAATTTTTGTGAATTGATTGGGCATCTTGAGATTTGCGGTTCATAGCTCGTAGTTCTCGGCCATTAATGTTTCGATCTTAGAAGCACGCCGGTTGTTCCTGAGTAGTAAGGATAGAATATTGCCATAGATTTGCTTTGTAATTTTTCTTTTTTGGAGACTCCTTTATGGGACACTGGACCCGGTGTCCAGGAGCCTAAGCTGAGTATTGGCCTCAGCGAGCTTGTACCGGGTTGATATGTAGGGGTGTGTTCCCGGGCCCCAGTGGTCTCAT